CTGTCGTCACCGTTTTTTCGGTCCTCCGCAACCTCCGAACCCCCAGTACCGTCTTTAACGAAAAATAAGTTCTTTCTCTTAACTTTCCGTGATTGGTCATTCCCTACGGTCTTGCTAAATTATTTTCCATTACCCTTCCCATTTAAAACTTATTTTATTTTTCATCGCACGTTATTGGTCACCCTCTGTTTTTGATAAGATGTGGTTCTGCCTATTTAGTTATGGCGGCTCTTTTCCGAGTCAACACAATTACCCGCTAGACCTTGGGTCAGCGGTTTCTCAATCGTTCCTAAGAAACGTCATTATGGACACATGTAATGTATACGGTATTTGGGTACTCTAACTTACATGGCGACGGCGAAACCGACAAAGTCTTACAATCATATATTATATTCCTCCAGACGCTAAGTCATCATGAGCCCGTTTTCTGCCACTGGGTTCAATGTGACCGTTAAAATGTAATCGTGAAAATGCTTATCTAAATATTGAACTGACCCGGCAGAGAGATGCTGTTCACAAATGAATTCTTATTTTCAAGAAATTAAATTAACCTTCTCCATTTCCCTTATAATGGCAATTATTACAACTTTATAACTGATACTTGCTGTCTTTTCAGGTATATTTCGTTCTACAATCTGAAGAAGATTCTATATTGATTCAGCTTTGTTTCCTTTCCATATTGTGAAAGGTTAAATATCTTAAAACAGTAAGAAACTACTTTCCTCGTTTTGGAGAATTTTTATATAACTCAAATTGAGGAATGGATATTAGCAAAATTGAAGGTAGAGAGTCAGTTTTATTTACCAAAGAAACATTATATTCTTCCAATTAGGATCTATTACTATCTACAGAGTATGATTCTTCTATATCAGCAGTTCTCAAACTGTTTTTGTGACGGAAACCTTTTGGAAAGCAAAATACTTGACGGAACCCTACAATAAAACAATAGTTTTTAAAAGTGTATTCTTTATTAATAAACACAGTAATAACAGTAGTTACTTATTAATTACTTAAATAAGTATAATAATAGAAGTTATTAAAAAAAATCTAACTAATGGAAGGTATGAAACTGTTTATTTTTCATCAATTAAGTTGATACTAATATCAACTTAATTGATGAAAAATAAACAGATGAAAATTGATGAAAAATAAACAGACCTAAGTCTGCTAGAAGACAGTTGAAGTCTCATATCAGATTCGGTGTCGAGTCTATTGCGGTATTTCGTTTCCATGGCTGAATAGGTTTTTTTAAAGACAAAACAAGCACTACAGGAAAATTCTCAAGTCGCTCTAAGAGCGATGCCTTACAGCGATGCCTTACAGCGATTCACATTGGATTTGAATCTCTGCAGATTATAAATCTATTTGGAAAAACATTCTCAGGAAGTTTATTCCACAAAAACGCAGTTCTTCAAATGAAAGAGTTTTTAAACAGTGAAGTTCGAGGTGTACTGAGTTGAACCTCAAAACAATGAGCAGCCACAGTCCGTCGCGTATAACAATGAGCAGCCACAGTCCGTCGCGTATTTCTGATATTTTTTTGAGGGAAAAACACAAGCACCACAGTAAAATCCGTAAGGCGCTCTTAGAGCGGTGCCTGTGCGAAAGTAGTGATTCACATTGGATTTGAATCGCTGGAGACCAAATCCAATTGGAAAAACGTTCTCAGGAAGTTTATTCCATATAAACGCCGTTCTCCAAATGAAAGAGTTTAAACGGTTAAGTTCGAGGTGTACTGAGTTGAACCTCGAAACGATGATCAGTCAGAATCCGTGCGTATTTCTGTTATGTACCGCTCTTGGTGGAATCAAATGTGCCAAGTCACTTGAACACTTCCCGTGAAAGTATCTATAGATTAGAGACAAATCTCCAATCTTTCTTTGATTTTCCAGACTATTAAGGTTGCAAGTGATGTTTGGGTCTCCAATCAGGCGGATGGCTCTTTTCTGTATGGAATTCAGCAACTTCAGGGTATGATTAGGGGCGTAGCTCTATATATGTGAACAATACTCCAAAAAAGCTCTGATCTGAGCTTTATAAAGCATCAAAAGTTGCTGAGGTGTGTACAGTTTTCTGGTTCGGAGCAGATTTTGAGAAGCAGCCTTGCAATTCCAGCGACATGATTGGGCGAAGACATATTGGTTGAGAATCCTGTTCCGCACAAATATGTTGTTGAAAACGGGAAAAGAATATTCAGTGCCATTTCGGCAAGTATATGATATTCATCACTGATTCTGACCCAAAAATAGTTGAGAGGCGTCGTTTTGAACAATGACTCCATATTTGTGTCTGATGACATTTATAAAAGAGATTCTTATACTTTTGGGCTTTCGCAAGTTGGGTGAAAAAGGATTTTGAATCCATGAATTCACTTTCATTTTTGTATTCTGTTCTTCGAGAAAATACTTCTCAAAAGATACGCGTATCGAAGTGAGATATTGGACCAATTGAATTTCATTAGCTCGGACTTCCATTGTCTAATATGATAGAAAATTATATGAAATCCCTGAAAAAATCAAAAAAATTAAAAATGGCCGCGATGGTAGTGCGCCCGACTCACGATCGGAAGGTCGTGGGTTCGATTCCTGCCTCGACCAGATATTTTTCTCGAGATAATTTATCTGGTTGAAGCTGGACTGATTCTGCAACCGTGTGATTCCTAACACGGTCCTTAGCTCGCACAAGTTTGTCAACTTCTGAAAGTTGTCGTTCGTATGAGGGGCGAAAGCTGATTAACGGAAAAACATATTTTTTTTTTAAGAAAACGTCCTGAACTGAAATTACAATAAAATAAAATACAAGCCACAATCGAAAATTGAACAATGAAAAAGAAACAAAAATTAAAATATTTCAAGCCAAGTTACTTCACTACGTTTCGATTGTTATTATGCACAATCGTCTTCGGGTGATGACTGAACTTATTCCTCCAAGAGATTATACTACTTATAGGTCATTTGAGTGCTTTCACCCATCCTCTCTTCCCTCTCTCCGCTTCACCGGTCTAGCTGACCGCTGACCATTTGGCGGGAGTTGATTATGGGTTTTCATATGTTGCGTATCTCTACGCTATCTTGGCTGAATGCGTTGATGGACAACATTTTTGCGGCTTCTTTGAATTTTCTCCTAAACCAACTAATCCAACCTCCGCCAAACTGTCGGCTCCCGCTAAACCGGTGAAGCGGAGAGAAGAGACAAGGGGATAGGTGAAAGCACTCGAATGACCTACAACTAGTCATTTCTCAGAGGAATAAGTCTAGTCATCACCCGAAGACAATTGTGAATACTAACAAACGAAACTTCGTGAAGTAACTTGACTTGAATTCTTTCAATTTTTATTTCTTTTTAATTGTTTAATTTTTGCTTGTATTTGATTTTATTGTAATTTCAATTCAGGGTTTTTTTGCTTAATATAATTGTTTTTAGCTATTCTTTTTAATTTGATTTTTTCACGAATTTCAAATAATTTTAGTTCATATTAGGCAATGGAAGTCTGAACTAATAAAATTCAACATGAAAACTAACATTGGACCATTTCTGAGTCGTTTTCGCTAAAAAACTCACGTAAAGCTTTTTATTTCTCTCTTACCAACGAAAATCGAAAAATCTTATTTTCTTTTGAAGGCCTGTTACAGGCCTGGAACACTGTTGTCTGTTTACCTTGCAATAATTTGTTCAGTTTTTTTTAAATATACGCTGTAAAAGACAGTGGGAACAACCAAGTTTTATCGCAATAAAATTTTGAGCCAAGCAAACTAGAAACATATTTATTTATTTGAACTACAAGCTCCTTCAGAAATAGAAAAAGTTATATGAAAGTGTAAGTATTGAAAGGTGCGGTGTCAAGAGTAAATCAATTCAAAAAATAAAAGTATGAAGAGGAGCACTACTGAACTACCCGAAAATTTTAATGAAAAACATCATTCATATTCATGATGTTACTAGTGGAAGAACAAGCTGATAACATGACAACTACCGAGGTTATCAGGGAATTCACAACTGCTACTCACGAGATGATAAATGGTTTCAAATCTTTGATGCAAAATATTAACAAAAAGAAGGCATAAAAATGTCACTTGGAAACCTAATTGGTCTAAAACTTCTCGTCTTTGATGATGAGAGATATGAACATGGGCCACTGCCCAGAAAATCTACCTAAATGTGTTTCTTCAGTAATGAAAAAAAATCCAATATGCCTTTAAAAAGTCTTGAAAAATAATGTCCTAGATGCAGTTGAATCATTATTTGTCTTTCCAGATAATTTCATTAATATACTTCTTTCAGGAGTAACATGATTTGACTTACCTAAATTTATCATGAATAAAGTTGAACCATTGCCACCAGTGGATATTCGTTATTCATCATCATTCATCAAATTTTCAAATTTGGTCCTTAATCTTGACTACCACTGCCCAAAAGTTATTAATTTTCAACTTCTAAATTAACTTTTATTAAAATTGTCAGAACATTCAGTTTCAGTGGGTTAGAGTTATGATTAGTATCATCAGTAGTAGATCAGTTTAATGCTAACATTGTTGAAATTTTCTGAATGTATACACGATGAAACATTAGCTATACTATTTACTTTATAAAGTCAGATTCAGAAGATAATTTTTCAGATTTTTGTAAAATTCAAGAAATTTAACTTGCATAAAATATTACAGGCAGTATATGTCATTGAATTGTCTGCAGCTGAAGTCCCCGTTGTACAACCCTATTCTGTCCTTAGATGTTCTCTTAATGGACAGTTAAGAATATTACTGGAGTTTTTTCTCAACACCAAATCGTTATTTTTAACACCTTGACACGTGTTTCGATCACCAAGTGATCATCTTCAAAGAGGAAGATTAAAACTAATTAATGGACAGTGCTCAATGAGTAGCCCTGTATTTAAAGTCGATTCCTACTTTGTTAAAGCATTTCTTCAGTTCCTTTCTAGGCATTTATAAAGTGTTACGGTTTCAAAATCACTACCCCAAAGATCTGTGAAATGGTTCAATTTTTAGTAAACCCCCAGTAGATTTCATAATGAAGAAAGGGAATGTTCATGAAATTTTACATAGTTTATAGTTTATTTTCAATATAACAAACACATTTCATTTTGTATTATGACCTACTATGACCCTGTATATGCCAGAAAGTAAAAAGTCTTTTTATCTTTGCTAGAATCGGTAGTTCAATAAAATGAAACCTCCACATACACAAATTTTATTTGTGAGATATCGTTTTTTCAAAATAATTCATCGGGAAATTATAAAATAACAATAAAAATTAATTGGCACTCCGGGGCGACTTCATTGATTCCAGTGGCGCATTTGCTTTTTCAACTGCAGGAAAACCCGGAAAAACCCGCAGCACCACATCATCTGAGGATCTTGTCAGTTTGTCATTCGACATTTCAGACTTTTGAAAAGATGAAGTATTTTTTTTCTTTTCTGGATTTTGGACCAGACACGGGAAGAACATCGCGATTTTCAGAATTTGAAATTCTTGACGTGCTTTCTGAGACTTACTTTCAATCTTGGTGTCTAAATGATCAAGTTTGAATTCATGCGAAGCTTCAGACTCTCTGTTGTATGGAGAAAGAAAATAAAGAGACAATTACGGGGTTTTTCAGAAAAAACAATGTGGAAGTGGCATTCAGGCCACACGCCAGGTTATTTAATTTCCTTTTCAATGTCAAAGATAAAGTAAATAAGATAAAGAAATCTGGAGTTTATAATCTTAAGTGTCCGGAGTGTAATAGTGTTTTTGTAGAACAATATGGCTGAAATTTCTCAATACGAACAGACTAGTTAAAAATATTCCCAACTCTACATGTACGAACTTTTAAAAAAATATCTGTTTAAAAAAATATGTATTGTATTATTGTATTGTTAGTATTTTTAGGTGTATTTTTCGTTTTTTATTAAGATGTATTGTAATTTTATCCTGATTCGCAACCGAACACGGTTATTAGACTTATCTCATGTCATGTAAATGATTCGAAGAGATCAATAAATCTATCTATCTATCTATTCAATGTCCATTTCTTGGCATGCAATCACAAGTTCCCAAATCTAAACGATACGGAAACTTTGCACTAAGCAAGCAAGGGTTGGAAACTCAATTATTTGGAATCCTTGGAAATTCATTGCGGATGTAACTTGCTAAATGACCAAATCGACCTAGTCTATTCGCTGGTTTTCAGATTAGCGTACCCACATTGCTACAGGTGAACAAAATGTAGGTACTCAGTTGAGTTGAGAACCGTCTGTTGTTACCTATAGTGGTGTATCGATATGCATAACATTATGTTTAAAATATGTTTTTTCCGTTAACCAGCTATCGCACCCTTACGAACAACAACCCTCAGAAGTCGAAACTTGTGCTAGCTAAGGACTAACGAGGTCTTACCTTTCAACGTGTGATTCCTAACACGGGTTGGACGAGAGTGAGTGAAAATTGTGCGTTCTGCCTGCTGCTTGAACACATCGGCCGATTGACTGAGTACTCACGTCGAACCGCCCGGCTACCGACCGTATAAGAATTAACATTGTTATTCAATTCAATTCGAAATATACTTTATTGAATAATACTGGAGTTTTTTCCCAACACCAAATCGTTATTTTTAACACCTTGACACGTGTTTCGTACCAAATACAGATAACATTATAAGGAAAAACTCAATTCGTTCATAAAATTATAACTTTTTGTCACGGAATTGGATCAATCCACTCATGTTATCGTGACAGTACGTAAATAACAATAATTCACTTAAATCATCTAAAAGAACAATTCGTTCAGGTCAGTCTCAACTTCTAACACTGTAGGTTAATGGACTAACTAACACCTATTAGCACATACCACGAAGGGCGTTGGTTTATATCTGACAGGTGTCAGAGCAGGATTCAGAGTATCATTTCTCGAACTAGTTTGAAGCGGACAACAAACAACAAATTTGCATTTCATCATTTCGGACTTCCATTGTCTAATATAATATAAATTGATTTGAAATCCCTGAAAGAATCTGTAAAAAAATCAAAAAGCTGAAAAAACAATTTCATTAGGCAAAAAACTGAAATTACAATGAAATAACATACAAGCAACAACCAAAAAAAAACAAATAAAAAAATTGAACTAATAACACGAGCTGAAAAATTAAAAAAATTATTAACAAAAATTGAAAATTAAAAGATTCCAAACCAAGTTACTTCACGACGTTTAGATTATTAGTGTCCACAATCGTCTTCGGGTAATAACTTGACTTATAGGTCATTCACCTATCCCCTCTTCCCTCTCTCGGCTTCATTGGTTTTTAGCGGGAGCTGACAGTTTGCCAGGAGTTGGGAGTGTCCTGCTTGATTAGAGGTTTCCCTATGTTACGTATCTCTACGCTAGCTTGGCTAAATACGTTGTTGGACAACATATATGCGGCTTCTTTGAATTTTCTCCTAAACCAGTGTTCCTCCCTGTGGATGATTTCAGCCTGAGCCCACTTGATGTTATGTTGATGAGTCCAGGCATGCTCTGCTATTCCGGATTTGCTGGTTTCTCCTCGCTATGTGTTTCTTGTGCTCGGCAATGCGAACTTTTAATGGTCCCTTAGTTTCACCGATGTATGATTCTCCGCACTCGCAGGATATCCGGTAAATGCAATTCTTGGAATCGCAGTCCGCGTTTGGTGGCCTGCTAGGCCAGCAAAAGAAAAAGCTTTCCTTCCCTATGTAAAAAAATGTCACAGACCGGATTGGTGGAATCTCAGTGAAACGCGACTTGAAAACGCAGTAGAAATAGTGCAGGGCCTAATGTGAACCATGTGGTACACCCATCAAGATTTGCTATAAAATTTGTAATTATCGAATCAACATGAGATAATTTTTAAATATGATATTTTTTCATCAACCTGAACTTGAATGAAAACATGGAATGAAGTTACTCTTCAGGTTTTCTTATATGTTGGAATAGACAATGTGTGGAGATTCAATTGGAAGCCTTTTTTTTATACCTGTATATACAACAGTTTTATGTGAAATTTAATACCTTTGTCAAATTATTATCTCTTTCAGCATCTAGATGTATTTTGTGGAATTGAAAAAAAAAACATTTTTATTATTCTTTCAGAATATACAGACCTCAGTATGAGTCAAATAATGCAGAGACAAAGCCTTCATTTCTCTGGTAATACTGGTGTTCTCAGATATATGATATCACAAGTAGCAGGTTTACTTGATTCAATTGATGGAGATAAAAAGATGAGAGCCTTCAATGCAGTGGATATTACGATTGATCAAAAAATAGTAACTTTAGAGGTATGTCTTAAATTTTAGATTAAATTTACTAATTAACTTATAACAGGAAGTGGTCGACAATGTTTCTTGATAAATATTGAAGATTCGGACTTCCATTATCTTAATGGTGAAAAAACTGTTACTCAATACAATACAATAGTATTTAATGTTATAACCATGAATGAAAATATTCTTAAAGTGGCCTTAGTAGAGTCTTCAAAGTTGTTATTATAATTATTATTAATATTCAATATATGTTAGGTGGTATAGCAGCTTAAACATTTCAAATGGGGAAACAAAAACAGAAATATTTTGAAACAATCGAAAATGAATATCAGTTTTTATAGTCACAAAATTATCCAAAATATTGTTGAAACATCTTTTATGTGCATAAAATACATGCTCAGGCAGGTTGTTCCAGTGGATGAAAACGAGGTTGCACAGAAAAATGGTAGCAAGATTTTTTTAGGCATCTAAAACTATTTTAAATGAATGTTTTTTTTAGTGTTTCACCGTCACTTCACACTAAAAAATCCAAAATTTATAGTGATGTTATTTAAAAAAAAATAAAGTGATATGGTAGGTTTCAGATTTATGGAGCTTGCTGAAGGTTTGCAAGTCGAACTCCAACAGTAATAATAATGATAAATAGTAAAATAATAAATAGATTATCTAGTACGAAGGACCGAAAGTACGAAGTACTTGTAGGTTTGTTGAGTAATTACATGTCTATTACTTAAATCCTGATCCTAAAAGAATCCAGTTCTTGATACATGAAGTAAGGAGATTTAACAGTTGACAATGTAAGCATCAGACAGTGAGTAATGCTAGGGCTGCAGCATATATCTTTCATTGAATATAATGTATATAATGTTCTTAATAATGTGTACCTAAATAACAAATATGTATGATCTATATATAGGTAGGTTATATTTATTTCCTGAATACCTGGATATGAACGTTTTTAGTTTTATATATGCCAACACTCAAGATTTTACTCCGAGAATGATTTGTTCGGGATTAATATTCATTTGATTGGCTTATATAGGGTCCGGTCGTGTTTCAATTGTTCGATGTATAGTAATACTGAGAGTCACAAGTAGCCATGTAATGACTTGAGTTTTAAATTTGTGAAATATTTGTATGTGGTTCGTTTCATATGGAAGAAGGTCATAAACTTTCACTGCAGTATAACAATGATTTCTAGAACCCATTGACTTTTTAATGGATTTCGTTTTTGTTATTTTAATTTTGTTTCTTGTGTCATAGCGATATTCTCCATATTGAATATCGTTTTTATTTTTAAACTGGTGAATCAGTAGAGTTTGACAGTGAATTGGCCTAATGTCTAACATGTCATATTCCTCGTATTGTTAGTCACTTGAGTAATTTTTTGGTTTTTTAAATATAATTTTGAATAGCCTCTTCTGTAAAACTTCAAGGTTTTCAAGTACCATAACTAAGCTGCGATTAGATGAGTGAGTAATGAAGTATTTTCAGTTGAGGCAAGGTTAAAAATTGTTCAAGGAGTTTGAACTTCGGTAGTAGCATCCTCAGTTTCTTAATCAAGTATTTAATTTGCAGATCCCATTTTAATGACAAGGTACTTTATGCTAGCTACTTTCTCGAGCGTGAATATGTCATTTCGGTTTCTGTTTATGGTTAGTGAGTCGAATAATGGTAACTGATTTTGATAAGTTGTGAAGGGAAGGTATTTGGTTTAATGTCATACACCGTGAAGATGTTCGCATCAAACCAATTTTGTATCAGTTGAAAGTCATTTTTGGAGGTTTCCTTCAATTATTCACAAGAGTTGGCGCTATAGATAACTATATTATCATCTGCAAAACTTATTATTTTTCCGTTTTTTTATATATATTGAGTAGATTGTTTAGATACAGGGTAAATAGAATTGACCCTAGTACAGTGCCAGAGAACATGAATTTCATTGTGCCAGACAACAGGCGTTTCATGCCCACCGTGCGGCGTATATCTGTTAAACTACTACTTTCAGTCAAGCAAGCAATATCTTAAGTTCCGAGAGAAACCATCTCCCTCATTCTAAGAGCCTCCACGTATTATGAATAATACACCGACTGCTCTTAGTAGTTTCTGAAAAGACATTCATGAGTACCTGAACCTAGACACTACAGCCCTGGCATATTTCGAAGCTATCTGTAGAGAGCTTTGGCAGCCTGTGCAAAATGACCTACATAACTTGATAACTCCGAATTATCTTTGGAGAGTCCTTGTCGATTGTAAAAACTTTGCTAGTGCTAGCACAGATGTGCTACCATTTAGTCAGAGTTTACAACTGCTGGAGGGAGAGTTGTTCATGGACATCTTCAATGCACGAATACTCTCTACAGTTGACCAAATATTTGAACGGACATATGAGCAGAGAGGGTCAAAGAGAGCAGAACCAACTCATTAGTAGATGTGTAAAATAGTATCATCCTGTAAAAGTTGTTCAAAAACCACTATTTCTGACACTTAGCAGGGTCCTTTTAACATCAGCGAAACGTATTAAAACCATTTATTACCTATCTAAAATTCTCTATCTACGCCTATTTTGAATACATGATTTTTTATAGTTATTGAGGAATGTATATTTTATATTTTACCTTAATTAATAGAGATTTTCATTCCATGATGGGATTCGAACTAGGTTTGTTAATGCTCGCAACAGCTGCAAACTAAGAATAAATGAAAGTAAAAAACTCCACAATCAGAGAATTAGGGGTAAACTGCTTGCCAATCCCGACGGGTCTAGATGCTTCTGCTAAAGCTGTTAATCAAAACTGCACAAAATCCACAATTCTACCATTAACATAAGCGAATGGTTAAATTGCAACAACGGCTATAGAAAAAGCAAATCTACTAGTTGAACAATTTGCGTCCACAGTCGATTTTCTAGAATCCATTATGCCGGAAATTACTTTTCAACAACGTCTAGTCAAGCGAATTTTGAAACAGCTTAACACTCCTGATGGAGTGCCCGTAATCGTACTAACTAGACTCTTCAAACTATCTTACAAGAAAGGGTTTTTTCTTCTTGTTGGAAGATTGCTCGCGTTCAGCCTTTTTCCAAAAATGGGCAAGAAAAATCTTCCAAATAACTATAGACTAGTCGCTTTGCTATCAGTGATATAAAAAATCATGAAGGAAGTTGTAAACCAACATATCCTTAAATATTTGGAAGGCTTCAACATCTTGAGTGATCATCAATATGGCTTTCAGAAATAAAGATCAACAGGCGACCTTCCATCCTATGTCACCCATATTTGGAATTATGCAATCAAGAAACATGGAGAGTCAAAAGCTGTTGTGCTTGATATTTCTAAGGCCTTTGACCGTGTGCCAGCCAAACTTCGATGATATGGCTTGTCGGATCATTTTTTGTATGGCTCTCCAGCTTCCTGAAAGAACGTTCCCTGCAAGTGGCTGTCGATGGACATCTCTCGAATACTTTTACCATCAACGCTATTGTTTTCCAGGGATCCGTATTGTCTCCAGCCCTCGTTTTGTTGTATATCAACAAGAATCCAATGTATTGCTTTGCTGACGACAGCAGACTTGTTTTGCCATTCTATTTAGATTCCAGGACATCGACTGCGGATGCACATCTTCACCGGCAGCAGGAGGTTGCATATCTTAATGAGGATCTAGAGGTGATTTCGATTTAGGGTAAAAGTAACCAGGTTCATTTCAATGCCACGAAAACCCAAGCATCAGTTTTCTCCAAAAAGATAAATGACTCCGAACTTGATATAATAATGTCAGGACAGTCAGTTCCGCTTTCTGCTTCGATAAGTTTGTTAGGGGTCAAAATGGGCTCATATATGTCTTGGCATAATCATGTCCCTAGAATTGCAAAGGTTGCTTCTTGAAAGCTTTTCTGAACCAGGAAACTGTAGGTACATACTTCAGCAACTTTTGATGCTTTATAAAGCTCAGGTCAGACCTTTTTTGGAGTATTGTTCATGTATAGAGCTCCACCTCCATGTCCTGAAGATGCACGAACATCAGTTGCAACCTTGATAGTCTGGGAGGTGTTGAAGTGACTTGGCACATTCTATTCCACCAGGAGTTTGAATGACAGAGCAGAAGTTGGATCATTTCTCTTCAAGGTTCTAGTGGCCAATGAATTTGGAGTTGTCACCGGTTTCGCCATATGTCATATTATTAGAACCATTCAGTTTTCAGCCTTAGGTTGACGACATAAGCTAATGAACGTAATGTGATGTTGCTCGACCACCAAAGTAAGATAAAATTTGTAGGGGAGTTTTCAGCTAATCGGAAAAGAGATAAAATGGATGAAATATCGAAATTTTCTATTTGATTGCTGCAGACTCTAGTAAGACCACTCACACTTTTTACGAAAACCATGATCAAAGTAATGGAGAGAGAGAGAGAGAGAGAGAGAGAGAGAGAGAGAGAGAGAGAAAAAGAAATATACTTTATTGCCCAAAAAATCAAGTTCTTATTGACAAAGCATATTAGGAAAAAAAATTGTTAAAGAGTGCTTCTTTAAATATACTAAATATTTACAAAAGTATGTCAAAAGTATGTCAAATATAGATAAAATGAGTGGGTATATAAAGAAAACACATAAAAATCAACTAAAGAAGCAAATAAAATATAAATAATACATCCTGAGAATAAAATCATATCTAGAATAAAGTCATAGCAGAGTTTCACTGAAAAATTCCTCGAGATTATAGAATGCTTTTTTGAGTAGAGCTTCTTTCATTATTTTTCTCAATTTGTAATAATTTTTCTCCCTTCTAATTTCGGAGGGTACGTAATTATATATTTTTTGCTTTCAAAAATCAGAGTCCCTTGTCAAAGTAGATTTCGGAATAGGGGGAGATGTATTTTATTTTCCGATATTTGCCTTGTAACATATATTTCATTTGACTGCTTGGTTTTGGGGTATCAACTGTACTAAGGTTGCTGTGTATTCGACATACAGGCTCTAGAATAAAAATGCAGGTGAGGGTTAAAATGCCCTTGCAGATAAATAAATAAGTGCGTCGGAATATTCCTGATCTTAAGCAAAACCTTCGACTTGATAGGTCGTTCTATATTTTCAGAGAAATTAAAAAGGTATGGCATGAGAGGAACATCTCTCCAGTGGTTTTTTATTTTGAGTAACAGGAAACATTATGTGGAAGAAAATAATTCAAAATTGAATACTCTAGACAGTTCATTTGGAGCACCTCAAGGATCTATTTTAGGGCCTCATTATTCAATGATTTTTCATGTCAAGAAGAAAAACTAATCGCAGATGATACAAGTCTCCGCATTTTTGTTAAAAAAAGCATCAAAGCAAATGAAAAATTAGATAATGCTAGCTGATAGCTGACAGAGAACAATTTAGTCCTAAATAAAGAAAAAACGAATTTTATTGAATTCAATACTCTCAAAAGTAAAGATGACTGTGATTCAACACTACTAGTGAGTAATAATACCATTTAACAGGTTATTTCAACAAGATTCTTAGGTTTGCATCTATCTGAGAACTGTACTTGGTCACACTACATAAACAATTTATGTAAAAAAGCACCTTTGATCTGTTATTGTAAGGCTGAATACTTTCCGCTACAGAGGATGTGACATGCATTTACCAATTTATGTGTTGACCAAAACAGTTGTCCTGAGTTATTATCAAGCACACTTTAAGTCATCAATTATTGCATGATATTGCTCATCAGAAGCCAACCCGGGTTTTTAAGTTACAGAAAACGAGCTATCAGAATAATAATTTTCAAAAGCAAAAGAACTAGTTGTAAAGAGGCCTTCAGAGAACTAGGCATAACAGTAGCTAGCTTGTATATATTTAATGTTCTAATTTATATAAGATCATAAGTAGATACCATAAATTCTCTGAATTTCAGTCACACTTACGACACAAGGCATGGCAATAGATTGGAAATTTCGCAGCACCGACTAAAACTGTATGAAAACTGTCCCAAATATATTGGCTTTGAACTGTACAATAAATCACCAGGTCGATACAAAATCCTCAATAAAAAAACATACAAATATAATCTGAAAATGTTACTGATCGAAAAATGTCACTTACTATTCAATGGGTGAATACCTACCTGTTTTTCAAGTCCATACAAAATTCTCAATAAAAAAACACAAATATAATCTGAAAATTATACTAATTGAAAAATGTTACTATTCAGTGAGTGAATACTTTCCTATTTTTTCAATCTTTTTAATTAAACTTTCATTCCTTCAACATTGTTGATTATACAAACTGATTCACGGTGGGTGGCACATTAGGCGTTTCTGGTGAACCAGACACCTGATCGCTTTGAAAATTTAATGAATAGCAAATTCGAACATTCTCTACCTATAGTAAAACCAATAATGATTGAGAGTAAAGCGCGTTGTCGTATCTAAATTTTACGTTACCAGTTTATAGCAGAATCAAAATATAGTAAGCAGTAGAGTTGTAGGTTGTGGCAAATTATAGATAATACACAATACTAGTACGATTAAAAGGTATTATTTATGACAAAAATCAGTAATGAGCTTGTAATGAGTAATACTTATACATTTCCTGATTACTGATCAGTTAAAATTCATTATTTTCTGTATAGTGTTAGATATTTATTACAACTAGTGGCAACGCTGTACGCAACGATATTTCTGTCTTTGTCACTTTACCG